TTGATGATGCTGACAAAACACGGTACATATACAATTTATGATTTGATATAAATATATTGAAATAACCTGACTTTTTGGTCAGGTTCAAAAGCTCGCAACAGGCACCCGTCAACAGGGGGCCAACGATTTTTGGCCTGGCCTTGAGCCTAGCCAAACAGGCTTTTCCTAACATTTATGTCGTGGATACACATAGTTTTCCATATTAAATTCAAATATCTACTCCTACCTACTATAATTTTTTTATTAATTTTTGTTTTATTGAATTTAAGAAGTGAAGGACAATAAAGGACATGACTAAGCATGAATAAATATATTAAGGTAGGTAGTTGTATTACAAAAATTTAATGTGTAAGGTAATACATTAGCGACGTATTGAAGATATAAAATGTCTTGAAAAGTTTAATGAATGATGCTTTTCTATTCCTAATTTTCAAATAATTTTATAATTACAAAGATGCACTAATTTAATCATTTTGTAAAGATAAACTGATACTTCATTTCCTTTTTAAAGAGAGTGAAAGAGTGGCTGTTGTCTTTCAATTCTCTCTAGTATGAATGAATTGTTTCCTCAATTGATATCAGCACTAAAATCTTTGGAATGATCTCAAAACTTTAACTATAATAAACAAATGAAACTCTAACACTTATGGCTCTTTGATAGAGTTTCCTTTTTGTAAAAAAACTTTATGGATATGCTACATTAAACTAGCTTACTATAAATACTCTTCTAATCTGACAAAATACTTTCAAAAAATTATTTAAATATATTCAAAATCAACTTTTAAAACAAATTTTGACTTTTTAAAAGTCATGTCGATCGGGATTTCTTTGAACCTTAAAAGCATTTTGAAATATAGAATAGGTGATATTCTATGTCACTATGCATTATTGATAAAGAATTTTGTGGCTACAAGTGGGGTGTTATGGTTTGAAGTGGGTTTTTTTTTTTTTTTTTTTTTTTTTTTTTTTAAACCCGGGGGTCAACTTTTTTTTTTTTTTTTTTTTTTTTTTTTGATAACCCAGGTGTCCCAGTTTCGCCGGACTAAATCCTGGACCCCTAGCCCCCGGTCCCTCAGTGACTAGTGGAGGTAAATCGCGGTATATGTCCAAGCTGATCAGGGTCCGTGCTTCCTTTATACTCCTAGCCCCAAGGGAGCCTTCCTCCATGATTATTACATCACCAAACTGCTCCAACCAAGAATGGTTATTACATCACTTAACTGCTCCAACCAGGAATCGAACTTCCCACGCTGGGGTTGCGAGCCCCGCAATGCCCGTCCTTTGCCAACTTGGATGTGCCCCGGGGGGCGGTTTGAAGTGGGTTTGTAGTACAGCATGATGTGTCCTCATTAATAAAATTAAGGGGCTTCCAAAAAAAATTCTCCATATAAGTACTAAATTTTGC